TATAGTGATACTAATAACGAGAATAATAGTAATATTAATAGTGAGAATAATCATAGTAATAGTAATAATAATAACGATAATGATAGCAATGATAATATAATGGTAATGAATAAAAGCCTGATTATAACGATGTTAATAATATTAATTAATCATTAATTATTTCTTTTATCAATATTAATAGCAGTAGTAGCAACACCATCAACGTCGTCATTACTGACGTCATTGATGCCACTACCATCGCTACCATGATGAATTATAACAATGATTACATATGCACACCCACAAGTAATAAAATATATATATATATACAAATAACACCGCATTTAGTTCTAACAACCCCTCTGCATAATCCCTCTCCTTAACATTTTCCTTTGTCCTCTCTCCTTTTCCCAGACGCAGCAATGTTGAAAGCACACCTGGCCGTCCTCGCCCTTGCAACCCAGTGGTTCGTCGGAGCATCGCAAGAACAGAGCCCTTTTGCCTACTTCATCCCACACGATCCTGCCGTAGTCGCCTGGTATCCTGGGACGAAAGTGGACACGGTTTACACGGCGTCGGAGTCCCTCTGTGCGATCCATTGTTACTTGAGGTTCTGTGTCGGGTACAGGTACTTCGGTAAGTGTTTAGAATGAGTCAGCATTCTTGGGATTCTGTTGGTATTGGGGTATTGCACGTTATTAAGTCCTAAGCGATGATAGGGACTGTATTTTATGGATAGCTGTTACTGTATTCCATAGCTAAATATTTTCAAGGGAAATCTAGTATTTAATTCATAACACATACCATATTTAATAGAAAAGTAGGGATTGTATTGAATAGATAATGTGTACCGTAGCTAATAGATAAAAAGCACCATCTCTTAGGGGATAAGAGGTGCCATTTTCATAGATATCAGGTACCACATGTAATACTTAACGTAACAGGTACACAATCGTGTTTCCTGAATAAAACTTGAAATATATTTTTCTATCCTTTTCCGTTCGTTCTCACAATGGCCCTTTTCTTGTCTGTCACCATAATGGAAAAAAGCCATTAGACGAAAAGTAATCACAAAGGCTTTCCTTGAACATATGGCGTGTCACTATACAAGGTAATATCTATACGCATTAAAAGAACCCTTTTCTCATGTCTTTTCTCATGCACTCAATAGGGGAACTCTTCCATTTTTTTCATATGATTCCTTTTGGCAGAACATTCGTGTTTACTGGAAGGCCTCGGGGCTCATTCTAACATCGAGAGAAACGGGCAGCACTTTTACCAAATCGCTCGCAGCAACATGGCTTTCCAGCGACCAGCCTTTGGCATAAATAATTATCCTGGGTATGTGGGTATAACACCCCTAACCCCCCACCCCCCCGCCGCCGCCAATAGGAATATGTTTTCTATAGGTCAGTGGTTTTGTGTGTGGGGGAGGGGGGGGGCTTGTGCGTGCGTGTGTGAATGAATTATCGTAGAACCTTTGTAGAAAGCAAGATTTCCGACTCTACCCATCTGTTTTCTTATTATTCTCGCTCTTCTTCCTCTTCTTGTAAAATTAAATCTACTTCAGATCTCCGCCGGCGAACGCTGTCGACGCCATCTCCTGCCTGGAATGGTCAACGGCAAACCAGGAGTGTTGCTTTGCCACTTACTACACCGCCTTCCCCTGGCTCATTGTGGATCTTGAACGGCCGAGGAAGGTCTTTCTCGTCGACATCGCATCGAACACTCTGAATAAATTCGAGGTTAGCTTTGTCATCTCTGTCTTTCTCTTTCTCCTTATCTCTCTCTTTTTTTTTCCTCGACTCTCTCTACTTCTCTACTTTTCTACTCTACTCTCTCTCTCTCTCTCTCTCTGTCTGTCTGTCTGTCTGTCTGTCTCTCTCTCTCTCTCTCTCTCTCTCTCTCTCTCTCTCTCTCTCTCTCTCTCTCTCTCTCTCTCTCTCTCTCTGTCTCTGTCTCTGTCTCTGTCTCTGTCTCTCTCTCTCTCTCTCTCTCTCTCTCTGTCTATATAAGACAGGTAGCACCAGTTTCAATAAAAAGTCCTAGTTGGCAGCTGCCTAATTAAGTCCGGCTCTTTTACGCCATTTATTGCAAATGTTAATATGGTATCTTTATTTTAGGTCCTTTTTTAGTGTACCATTTTTATTATTGGGTCGTTTTCAAGGAAATCTACCGAGAAAAGATTTCCAATAATGTATCACAGGAGTGGAAATGGAGCAGAATTAATTGTGATGTTATCGTATTTAGCCAATTAGGCCTTCATAGTGAGAAACCAGACATGGCTAGATTAGTGATTAATTATTTGACTTACTTGGTGCTGTAGTAATTACTAGAAATTGAATTTAAAAAACACCCAGAAACACATCCATGGACCCCCTAAGGATTCGTGGACCTCAGCTTAAATCTTGCTCTAGGGAAAAACTCAATTTTATTTTATAGGTTCAATAAGTTAAATGGAATTGGCGTGTTTTAGAGCCTAGTCCAGACCAAGGTACATTTATCGAAACAGTTGCGCTACAATATTTATGTAGGCCTACTGTCCCAAGACAATTTGCCAAACAACTGAGCAGCATTCTAAATTTGTTGCTCCAGAAGTTAGCAACTGTTGCAGAACACGAGCGACTGTGATAAGCGACTGTTGCATCAGATTCGAGAATCACTGGCGCTTCTTTGAATCTGCATCACTTCATTACCGATGTTCAATGGTTTGGTACTGTTATACATCCAGGTTAAGCTGCAGTTAACATTCCATAAACTGGGAGTGGAATTCAACATCTCGATTAATCAAAACTGTCTTTTCTGTTGTCCATAGTTTGAACCTGGACAAGTAGTATTTACACAAAGTAACAAAATAAATAGCAGGCTTGAGAAAAATCTGTAGTGACTCACATAGCCAAATAACGCAATAAATAAATAAATAGTAGTTTTTCATGCAGGTAAATGATTTAGAATTACTCTGCTGTCAATTTATTCTGCCACTACGCTTTTCATCACATTACCTACTTAATATCATGGAGCTTGTGACCAGAAGATTTTCTATGCAATGTTCTTAAAGTTTGAGGATATCCTGAGAATGATGATCATAGCTGCACCATTAATAAATTTTTGATTTCATGTGTCAGTAAAATGTAGATTCCATAAATTCCTTGGTACATTTATTTCCTTGTGTTCGATCTCACATTGTTCATAGCAACCTCACAACTCCCCAGAAGTCAACAGGCGATTGACTAGTGACTGACAGATGATGATGCCTTTACGCTTTACGCTTCTTATATCGAGTGGAAAAATGCTGAAACACTCAAAATCGTGTCTCGGAACTCTTGAACAACAGTCGCGAAAAAATTGGATTGTTGCTCAACTTTTCAGATACTCTGTTTCGTGATTATTGCGCAATAAGTGATCTTGGTCTGGACGCGGGTATGAAATCATGTCTCGCAACTGTTTCGCTGCTGTTTCGAGACATTTTGTGATTTATTGAGCAACTGTTTCACTGCTGTTTCGAGACATATTTTGATTTATTGAGCAACTGTTTCAGATAGAGCTACATTGTATATTGGATATAGACTAATGTATGTTATACTCGCTTTTTCATTACTCGTTTAATAACTACATGCTTTCTCTCTTCCTTTCCCTTCCTCCCGCTCACCCACCCACCCACCTGCTACCCCACTGGCCCACCCGCCCCCTGACCCACCTGCCCACTGGCCCACCTACAAACTAACTCACCCACCTATTAACCACCTCCCCACTAACCCCCCTCCCACTAACCCACCCCCTACTACCCCACCTCCCCACTAACCCCCCCACTAACCCACCTCCCTACACCCCCCACCAAACCAAACCAGATCCGCGTGGGCCAAGAAATGAGGTCAGACGGAAATTTCTCGACCTTTGACCTCTTCGGCAACTCCCCCCCATACACGGTCAATGGCAGGGCCGTGTTCACCCATCCCGAGGGCGTGGTGGGTAGGTTCCTCAGCGTCCAGATGATGCAGACGATGAACTTGCGCGTGTGTGACCTCGTCGTTTTGGCCGAAGATTTGGACTGAGGTTAAAAGCGGTTGGATTGGCCTTGATATTTCTTAATTTTTGTTCATTTTATTTGATTTATTTGTTTGTTTCTATATTTTTTTTTGTGTGTGTGGTTAGTTTGATATTTGATTTCGTTTTCTTTTGGACATTTTTTTTCTCTGCCTCTGATATCATGTGCTGTTATAGAACTCTTGATTGTTTTTTTGTTTTTTTTATGAACATAGGAACAGTTCACACTTATATTACTTTGTGTAATAAGTGTACACATAGTAAATAAAGAAGGAAAAAAAGGAAAAAAAGTAAATAGATTAATAGATAAATGAAATTAAGTAATACAATATGCATAAATAAATAATCAAACATATTGAGTAATCAAAACCTATAAATAATAAGTAAATAGTTAAATAAAATAAACGAAAATAATTAGAAAATGGCTTGCAAAAGTGTCGAAGACCAAGCCAAATAACGTTTTTTTTTCTTTCTTTCTTTCTTTCTTTCTTTTAAATGCTGTTCATTGGGGAAGAACGTGCTTCTTGCGGGTGTTCCATAAGGGCCAGATTCCCAAGCCACTAGCATGTTACTGTCTTTCCTCAAGTATTTGATTGTTTCAAGTACTGTTTTTTTAACCTTCTCTTTAGCATGTGAAAAGTCTATCCGATCGTGTATTATAAGATAGGCCTAACTCCTATCTTGCAACAGTGTTTTTTTTTCTTTGTGTAATGTAACATTTTGAATACAATTCATGATCCAGATTAAGAAGTTAGATGTTGAAATTAACAAGGAAAAGTGACACTGCTTATACAAACAAATTGTGTAAGTAGTCTTAAATTAAGATATACATATATCCCTAAATATATGTATCTATCTATATGTGTGTATATATATATATATATATATTCACCATCACTTGTGGAAGGAAAATATTGCATTAGGCTTTCTCAACTTTATATATTTTTTATAGAAAAGGCAGGAAAAAATCAAGAAAAGAATATTATACACGTTTATTTGTTATATTTACATTTGTATCTAAAAATAAAATATTCTAAAATCAAATTTCGAAGTCACTTTGTAGGCAGGCAGATCTCATTTCTGTATATATGTATATATATATATATATATATATATATATATATATATATATATATATATATATATATACATACTGTATAAAATTCATATATTCACATTAATCATAAAGCTAATGCAATGCAAAAGAGAAAACTGGACAAAAAAAAACATTTTAAATGAATTCATTCCTGAAACCACTTTATCATAAATGAGAAAGAACAGCAATAAAAAAGAAGCCACAAGAAGCCCCGCCTTTCTCTCCTTCCCACACACTGGTCCCACACACTTCGCCTCCGTTTCAGTTCGCCGCAAAGTCGCGCACGGCCGTCCCCACCTCCACAATGGTCACGTCCCTCACCGTGCGGTTATAGGCGATGTCCTCGACGAAGGACAAGCCGGACACAACCTCGCCGAAAGGACAGCAGAACTTGACCTGGCACTCCCCCAGCGCTATGCCGAACAGGGTCTCGTCCTCCGCCTTCCTGAAGCTCCAGCCAGCCACCAGGCCCTTGCGTCCCGGCCGCTCATGACCCTCGTTCCACTCCAGGCGATCCATCAGGGCGTGGGAGCTCGTGCCGTTCTCCGTCAGGTAGCGTCCCGCGCGAAGGCAGTCGATCCCGGCGGTCTCGGTGACGTCCAGGAACGCCGAGCCCTTCAGCGTCGGCCCCAGGTGTCCCTGGCACAGCGCGAGGAACTGCTGGCCGCGGCGGAGGTGCGTCCACACCTTGATGTTGATGCGGCCGATGGGTCCGTCCCGGTCGGCCACGTCCAGGAACACTGTGGGGTTCTCCTGAGGGACGAGGAGGCGGACGTCGCTCATCTGGAGCAAAAAGAAACTGTTTTTAGACTTAATGAACAAATGTTTCTTGAGGATACGGTAACAAAGGCGA